TTTTTTTTGAGATAGGATCTCACTCTGTTGCCTAAGCTGGAGTACAGTGGCATGATCTTGGCTCACTACAGCCTCCACCTCCTGGGCTCAGGTGATCCTCTCACCTCAGTCTCCTGAATGGCTGGGAACACAGATGTGCACCACCATACCCAGCTGATTTTTTTTGTATTTTTGGTAGAGAAAGGGTTTCATCACATTGCCCAGACTGATCTTGAACTCCTGGACTCAAGTGATCCTCCTACCTTGGCTTCCTAAAGTCCTGCGATTACAGGCATGAGCCATTGTGTCCAGCCTGAAGTGAATTACTTTTTAAAGTAGAAAAACATGGAGGCCAAGGCAGGCGGATCACCTGAGGTCGGGAGTTCAAGACCAGCCTTACCAACATGATGAAACCCCGTCTTTATTTTTTAAAAAATGAAATAAAATAAAAATAAAAATAAAAATAAAAACAAAGTTGTTTTTATCTGTGACTCCTGGCCTCAAGCAATTCTCCCGCCTCAGCCTCTCAAAGTGCTGAGATTACAGGCATGAGCCACTACACACAGCTAAGTTACTTTTGCTCTGGTAATAGTCTTTTTCTGGACAATGTCAGATCTATCTACTGAGAGAATGTAGTATGAACTGTTTGCTTTTTCCATCAGTATAGCCCATATCCACCCAGTTATCTGTGGAAAAGCAAAACTAACAATTATTCTAATGTTTTTTCATTTAAGAAATACAGCTGATATATAGATATATCATATATATCATATATATTTATATATAACATAAATTTATATATATAACAGATAAATCTGCTGTTCAAACTATCTATTATATATATTATCTATACTATACAATATATAATATATATGTGCTGTTCAAACTATATATATAATATATAGTTATATATATTATATATAGTATATTATATGTGCTGTTCAAACTATATATATAATATATAGTTATATGTATATTATATATAGTATATTATATATATATACTATATATATATTATATATATAGTTTGAACAGCAGATTTATCTATTTATTTTTCCCTGTAGAGACAGGGTCTGCTTTGTTGCCCAGGCTGGGTCTTGAGCTCTTGGCATAAAGCAATCCCGCCTCAACCTCCCAGAGTGCTGGGATTACAGGCCCGAGTCACTGTGCCCAGCCTAGATTTCAATTTTTGGTACACAAATAGTTTAAAATGTAGATTGGTGAGGAATGCCTTCATTTGCTTTTCTGTAACTCCTTAAGTATGGGCAATAGAGTGCTGAGATGACACATTGTGACCGTACAAACAGCAGGAAATCTGCAAGATGAGACATTTTATCTCATGATAGTTCATAGTCTTGGATGGTAAACTCTACGTCCTTATCTTAGAATTTAGATTAAATATGAAATCTTTATTAGAAAGCAGTAGATATCCAGCCTGGGCAACATAATGGGATCTTGTCTCTACAACAAACACTGAAATTAGCTGCAGGGTGTGGTGGCATGTGCCTGTAGTTCCAGCTACTTAGAGGCTGAGGCAGGAGGATCACTTGAGCCAAGCAGGTTGAGGCTGCAGTGAGCCATGATCACACTACTGCACTCCAGCCTGGGCAACAGAACAAGACCCTCTCTCAAAAAAACAAACAAACAAAAAAATTGGCTGCATGTGGTGGCTCGTGCCTGTAATCCCAGCACTTTGGAAGGCTGAGGTGGGTGGATCACTTGAGGCCAGGAGTTTGAGACTCGCCTGGCCAATGTGGCAAAACCCCGTCTCTATGAAAAATACAAAAATTTGTTGGGCATGGTGTACCTGTAGTCCCAGCTACTTGGGAGGCTGAGGCAGGAGAATCGCTTCAACTGGGAGGTGGAGGTTTCAGTGAGTTGAGATCATGCCACTGCACTCCAGCCTTGGCAACAGAGCAAGAATCAGTCTTAAGAAAATAAAATTTAAAAATTAAAAGAGAAAACAATAGTTATTAATAGATATTAGTAACTAAGTCTGCTTGGCCAGATAAGGAGAGATTTTAAAAACTTCAGATAATTAGGTGCATGTCTTAAGAAAACTTCATTACCCACCTGGGGGAGACAGAATATTATTTGTGAAGTTACTGTCTCTTTTCTGTCATGTTTTATCCCATAGGACTGATCTAAGCCAGGATGACCCTGTTCAGGATCATTTGCTATTTAAGAAGACACTCCTGCCAGTCTGGAAGATGATTGCCAGTCACAGGTAGGTCTCCAAAGTGGTGATAGGATTATGTTCAGAACTGAAGCAGTAATACACATTGGGTTTTAAGCATAAAAAGAGATATGTTCATACCTCAAATGAGCCATAGTTGAAAGGCAGATTCTGTATCTAAGCCTGATTTATCTCAAAGTACTCATAGCTGCTTTAAGTCAGTCCAAGAAATAGTTGCTGTGCCATTTAAATTGCCTCTAGAAATTGGTTCCTATTTCTTTTTTTTTTTTTTTTTTTTT